TTAGAAATTAAACTAGAAGAAGAACAAGTTAAAGAAACAATAATTGCTTGGGGGAAGAATTTTGGATCTAGAGAAATGGCAAAAATTGTGGTTTCAAAATTATAAAATGACAATGTCAACAGCATATAAAGAAAATTTGTATAAGATGTTTTACAGGTGGCATCCCCCCCCCCCCCCCCCCAAGAATAGCAAGAATGTCCAAGAACAAATTGGAAAAATGTTGGAAATGTCATCAGACACCTGGCTCATACTACCATATGTGGTGCACTTGTGCAGATGCTAAAAAATATGGGACTAAAATCCACACGTGGTTGGAAAAAATGACAAAAAAGCATATAGATTTGAAACCAGAGATATTTTTATTGGGAATTTTACCTGAAATATATAGTAAAGAATTGAAATACCTGATTGTAAATGTATTAACAGCGGCTAGGATTGTATTTGCTAAAAATTGGAAAAATGAGAAAATACCATCACAGGAGGAAATCATTAAGAAAATATTGGAATGTGCTGAAATGAGTAGACTGACATTTGAAATCAGAGAACAAGATGATAAACAATTTTATAAAATGTGGGATCTATTCTATCAACGGTTAGAAAATAAAACATGGTAATGAAATATGTAGATTCTTAGAAAATAATATATAAAGATGTATTCTTTTCTTATTACATCTACAAAATGATTGTAGGATAGATTTGAGATGATAATATGAACTGTCACAAAACAATTTAAGTAAAATATGATTATTTCGTAAAACATGAATGAATAAAAGTATAGTCAAATGATTGATTAACAATGATATTAATGTATTTAATACTTGATTGAAAATATGAGAATATATACAATGTAATTGAAGACTATGGAAGCACAAAACAATTTGTAAACCAACTGGCACACTGTATGTGTGTGTGTGTGTGTATATATATATATGGATCTTTGGTTGTTCGGGTTTTCTCCCGCGTAAGATTCGAAGTATCTAGGCAACGTTTCGATGAAGTCTCATTCATCATCTTCAGGCCTCTGTCTCCGGCTCTGTGCTCCTCAGAGTAATGTGAGATTGCAGCTGCTTCCTCCTTTTAACTGCCAGTGGGGGTGGGACTTGATTCAGTGGGGGCTTGGCTGTGTTCTGATTGGGTGGGGGTGTGTTCTCATTGGTAGGGGGTTTGGCTGTGTTCTGATTGGTTGGGGGGTTAGCCGTGTTCTGATTGGTTGGAGGCGTGTTCTGTTCAGGTGGGGGCTTGGTTGTGCTCAGGTTAGTCTTAGTTGCTGGGGGATTTGAGCTGGTGAGTTGTGATCTTGCTGTTTGGCTTCTAGTTCGTGGTCCTTCTGCATCTTCATAGTGGGTGTCGGTTTGCTTCATGTATGGCTCAGAGGGGTTTGAAGTGGGTAGTGATGCAGCTGCCGTGCAGCTTCTGGTCCAGGGTCGTGTCTCATCTTCTGGGTGGGTGGGGGTCTGTTTTCTACATGGAAGTGTGGTGGTGGCATCTTGTGTGGCTCTCATGGGTGTGGGTCTGGTGTCCTTCTTCATGTTAGGTACTCGTCTGTTCATGAGGGCGGGTTTCCAAATGGCTGGAAGGCGGGAGGTGTCGTCTCGTTTGTTCATGCTGTGTGGGCGTTTTTCTATCTCTATGGCTTCTCTGATTATTCTGCTGTTGAAGTGTTCGGTTTTGGCGATAGTTCTGGTATTTTTAAAATCAATTTCATGTCCTGTGGCTTTGAGGTGTTGGACCAGGGAAGAGGTCATTTCTTCTTTTTTGATTGAGTTCTTATGTTCTTCAATGCGTGCACTTATTCTTCTGTTAGTTTGTCCAATGTATGTGGTAGGGCAGGCAGTGCAGGGGATTTCGTATACTCCTTGGTTTTCTAATTCGATTTTGTCTTTGGGGTTTCTTAGGATGGTGGATATTTTTCTGTTTGTGCAGAATGCTGTTTTGATGTTGTGTTTTTGGAGGATCTTGCTGATTTTGTCTGTAGTGCCTTTTATATATGGGAGGAGGGCTTTGCCGTTTTCTTGTTCTCTGTCTTGGATTTTGGTTGGGGTTTCTTTTTGGATTAGGTGGGTAATCTTCTTTCTTTGGAATCCATTGGCTGCAAGTACGTTGGTGAGAGTGTGTAGTTCGGTTTTTTGGTGTTGTTCATCGGCTAAGCATTTTGTTCTGGAGATGAGTGTCTTGGCTACGGAATTGATCTGTGCTGGGTGGTGGTGTGAGAGTGCATGTAGATAGCGGTTAGTATGTGTTTTCTTCTGGTAGATGGTGTGTCCTAGGGAGCCATTGGATCTTTTGTATACCAAGACATCTAGGAAGGGAAGTTGGTTGTTGGCTTCTGTTTCCATGGTGAATTGTATTTTGGGGTGTAGGCTGTTGAGGTGTATGAGGAAGTTGTTCAGTTTTTCTTTCCCGTGTGGCCAGATTATGAAGGTGTCATCTACGTATCTGAGCCAGAGTTTGGGTTTGTGGTCGTATTTTTCTAGAGCTTGTGTTTCAAAGTGTTCCATGTAGAGGTTTGCGATGACAGGTGAGAGGGGTGATCCCATGGGTGCTCCTTCTATTTGTTTGTATTTTTGTCCATTGTAGGTGAAGTAAGTATTGGATAGGCAGTGGTTGGTTAGATCTAGGATGTGCTTGGGGGGGTTGTATTTGTTTTGGATGGCTGTCAAGGCTTCTTTTATTGGCACTTGGGTGAAGAGGGATATGACAACCAAAGATCCACATATAAATACCCGCGAGAACCTCAGAAAACAAATATATATATATATATGGAAGATGGTTTGATGTTTTTTTTGTTTTATTTGTCTATGTTCGTCTTAAAAACCAATAAAAATTTTAAAAAAAGAAAAGAAATACTAAAAGCACAACTACAGAATCAATTTGCTTTTTCACATAGGCATATAGACTAAGGAAAATGTTTCTTTAAACTTTATGTCTAAAAGAGTCAAGAGACTCAGTCACAAATATGAATGAAAAATTTCAATAAATAGTATAAAACACTATGTAATTAAAATCACAAGAAACACCGTAATGATATTACATCACTTCTGAGATGTTTTCAAATCCTTATCTATGAAGCATGGATAGTGAATCAGACAGCACAAATTAGCACCTGGGATCAAGACAAGACAAGGTGATGTATCACTTTACCAGGATTCTAACCAACCTATTAAAACAATGAAGACTTTCTAATATACAGAATTACCTTGAAACTCAAACACTCAGGTATAAGGAGTAGATTAACAGAGTTCCTAATTGCATCAAGATAAATGCCAAATATGAGATTTAATCAATTGATTTCCTGTCCACTCTTAGGAAATTCAGCCAACCTACCAACAAATTCAAACCTCAGAGTGGAAAAGCACATTAAAGAACATTGCGAGCATATTCACAAGCACAAAATTGTTTCAACCTGCAATATCTTCTATTATTATTCTCCCCTCAAAGCCACAATCATCTCTATCTTCCACAATCCTCAGCTTCTCTCAATCTAATGCAATTATATTCATTGAGCATTATTTGTAACTTATTGATAATTATCTGGATATTTTCAGTGCAGATATTAATATAAAATAGCTATAAAGACTAGACTAAGCTTATTGAAAGTTATGCAACATGGGTTTAAGTCTTATTGCACCTATATAACTATACATCTGTCAAGGATCACACATTTTCCTATTATAAGAATCTTACAATGACTCTTTAATAACACATTGCAGTGGATAAAAACATACATTGCACTGGAACAAAAAAATTTGAGAAATATTGAACAATAAACATCAATGACATTAACTAAATTACATTAAACAATATACATTAAGAACAACACCATTCTATATCTTTCCCCTTGCAGGTGTTATACTCACACTCTCCCTTGGAGTTCTTTTAGAACCTGTTGCATACATAGGTGATTCATGATAGCCATTTAAATATCTTTCTTTAATCATGTCATACTGGATAGATGATAGATAAATAAGATAGAAGATAGATAGATAGATAGATAGATAGATAGATAGATAGATAGATAGATAGATAGATAAGATAAACAAGATAGACAGACAGACAGATATAGACAAACAGATATTCATTTTTAACAGCCTTGTTGTCACAACTATTGTTTCTTTCAAGCCTTTAAAAATTACAAAGTCTTTTGCCTGTGTGATTCTGAGGTGTGCTTAACCTAGCTTTCTTTTCCTGGTCTAGATTGGCGGAAGGCTCAGGCAATAGCAACATTCTGCCATGATGTAAAATTAGAAATTTATTTATTTAAAATAAAAGAAATACCAACTGCTATCATGATTGTAAAATCAGTGTATTCAAACTGAATAGATTCAAGTTTTTAAATATTTAGGAATCCACATTCAATCTTCCATCACTTGGAAACAAAATCAGGAAATTACAGAATCTGCCCCCAAAATCTCTATCACTGTCATTAGATTTGCTATCTCTCATAAACAAAATATATAAGGTCAGAGAATTGTCCAAACCTGGACAAAACAGGCCTGTTTTAGGATCAGACCATCACCTAGAGTGTGAACAATTTTTGGTTATATGACCTACTTCCAGAAATTGCTTTCAACCATCTTGAATATCACAATGTGGAATGATTTGGCATGGTCTGAAAGAATACAACATTCCAAAATTATTAAAACATTCCTCTCCCAAATCAGTAAGTTTCCTCCTACATGCAAGTATTTCCAGAACAATTAGGAAAATAAAGAGTCATCTTGAATTAAGACTAATGATGAGTAGCTAGCCAGTCAACTGCAAACAGAAAAAAAATAATTGGAGCTTGAAAGCCAGCACAGAAGGTAATTTTTAATTTACTCTAAAAGTTCTATGGTACTTATTTTCTGAACAGATAAAGAATCTTTTCAAGAAAGCAACATTTTAGTAAAGGTACCATACAGTTCTGAATACATAATAGAATAAAAAAAAAATTCAACTGTTTTGGTCATTGCTATGATTTATAATTCCTAAATGTAATTTTTATTAAAAAAATATCTTACCTGAACACAGTTGTTCAACTTTTGTGTAGTTTAAAGCTACTATGTCATTCACCCATGCAATGATGTCATGTCTGCTCATAGTCTCTTGGGTTATAGAGGTAGAATACACGTTGACCGCCATTCCCCAACTGCAAAATCAGATATGCATAGATCAAGTTTGATACCAGAATATTTGCCATTCTGAATCCAATATCTATATAACACATACATAACAGTGGGGAAAAAACCAGTATTTCCAAAATATGTTCATTATCAATTCAGTTTTTTCAATCTCAAGCTACATTTATTGATCTATAACCCCTATAATCCTCACTTAGCATGATATTAATATCCAAATATAGATGGCAAAGAATTAATTAAAGGAGCTGAAGTCCAATGCATTTCAATGATTCACTTTATCTGACTTTTCCCATTAAGAAAAAATAAACTCCATACTGGTCTCCCATTATTTGACAGAATCTTCAAGTCATTCTTATCTTAAATTCTCTCCTAAAGAATTAGTGATGATACAATATATAAAGACCATGTATTATTAACAACCCATGGAAATATGAGAACAAGTTCTACCCTGTTTCAGATTGGGCTTTTGACCGTATAAGAACAAGTTCTCATATGGTCAAAAGCCCAATCTGAAACAGGGTAGCTTTGAGACCTTTGCATTGCATAGGTATAAGAAAATCGTAAGAATTTAAAATTGATTTTATTATAATAAATAGAGCATGCATTTGAAACACAACAGAGGAACACTAGAATTCTTCCATGTCTTCAAAGTCTTTCTGCAATAAATCTATTCTCAGATTTTGTATCCTGAGAAACATATTCTTAAATTTTTACCTTCTCAACAGTTGGAAGCCTGGCTTGTATCAGTGTTTGTAAATGTGTTGGACTACATTTTAGGATGAATCCTGTTCAATAACTAACTTGTTTTATAGTATGTTATCTGTTAATTTGGGAACTGTATATAAGGATAGCTTAATTCTGAAAATCAAACAAGCATTGTTTATATCGCTAAGTAACATGGAAAAGTATGTCTCTTATGCAAAAATATCATTATTATATTACAGTTTAGCTTTTCATGTGAACTGGATATATATCCTTTAATTGAAGTGTAACAGTACTCTGTGTAATACAGAGAAAGGAAATTAGTTCCTCTATTTGAACCTGTAAAATTCTTCACTCCATTAACTCCTTATCTCCCAAATTCAAACAGAAATCAATACTTGGAAGTAAATTATCAGTTTAATAAACTACATATCCCCTGTATTTTGACCAACTTGGGGAATAATCAGCCTTACTCTTCTGGAATGTATATGAGGAGCTGATAGTTATATTTGACCAGAGGAGTGTGTTTTCTATTATTATAAAATGATGCCTATGACATGAATTAAGATAATATAAAATCACCTGTTGCTTATTTTGTGGTGAGAAATGAGCATTTATTTATTTATAGATATGTATCTCCACTTTTAATTTATCTGAACATCATTAAGAATATAAAAAATGCTAAAACACAATATTACAGCAATTAAAATCCCAATTTTAAAAGTTTTTCATATTTTCATATTTTTGAAATATTATTTTAAAGCTTTCATTTAAATCAGGGATCTCCAACCTTGACAACTTTAAGCCTGGCGGACTTCAACTCTTTGCTGGCTGGGGAATTCTGGGAGTTGAAGTCCGCCAGGCTTAAAGTTGTCAAGGTTGGAGACCCTTGATTTAAATCACCTTATATATTTTAAACAAAATAATATATAAAATAATTTACCAAGCAGGTGGAAAAATCAGGTGGAAAAATCTGATAATAGAAAGGGTTACAATAAACAATCATATTTGCATAGCCACCTGTCTCACAAAAAGCGACTATGGAGCCATACATCAAATAAGTATTAAAATAACAAATACAAAGAAATAGAAAGTCCACATTAAAAGATAAATAATATAAAAACAAATATACAAACCCTAGGCAAAGAAGGAATAAAAATTGTTACCTCTGACCATGTCTCTGGTTCCCTGGGAGCCCCAGGCCTGATAACTTAACCAGGACATGAGGGAATTCTGGGATATGAAAAGGGATGGACCTAATCTTGGGAGGAGAGAGAAATGTTTCATACGGTGAGTTCCACGGCAGTTCTGGGACCCACCAAACATTGGTCCTCAGCTGATAATACATGCAGCATGTCTTCTTTGCCAGATCTAATGGGGCAGCTAATCAGGGAGAGGCAGATCCTCAGACAAGTCTAGTCCTGTGCCATGAAAGGCTTTAAAGGTTAAAACCAAGACCTTAAACTGTTCCCAGAATCAAACTGGCAACCAATGCAGTTCATGGAGCAGGGGTGTAACACACTGTTCTAGGGCACACATAATTGCCCATGCTGCCGCATTCTATTCCAGCTGAAGCTTCCAGAGCTTCCCATAGATTGCATTTCAGTAGTCCAATCTGGCGATGACTAGGGAATAAAAAACTTTAAGCAAAGTAACTTCTAGAACAAAAATAACATACTCCATACATTGCAGCAAGGAGCTTGTTTTTCTATTTTAAGAGAAGGAAGCTGCATAACAGAAAGGGGCAGAATAGCAATAGCACTTTGACTTATACACCACTTTGTAGTGCTTTACAGCCCTCTCAAAGCGTTTTAGAGACAGCATATTGCCACCAACAATTTGGGTCCTCATTAGAATGCTACCTAGTTAAAAAAAAAAAAAGCATAAATCCTTAGACTGGATTGGTAAGAAGTTGCAAACCCTTGAAATATTCCCAGATGCTTTTCCAGGGATTTCTTCTTTGTCCCACTGAAATGGCTAAAGGTACTAAGGCAAAAAAGTAACACATATCACTTAATCTTGCCTTTGGTTCACTAGATCACTAAACTGATGAAGTGATACTTGGTCCATCTATAGCAGGGATGTCAAATACAAAGCCAGCAAGCCAGATCAAGCCCACAATGTGGTTGGATCCAGCCCGTACATTCCACTAAATAAGTTTTACACAAATGTCTTCAGGTTCACTTAATTAGGCCACTGCAAAATTGCAAGAGTTGCAGGACAGATTAGTTTGGGTATTTGCTAATTTAGGTGCCTCTCCTGCTATGAAAAAGTACAAATAAAAGGAAGGTGGGGCGGGGGAAGCAACCAATCTGTTCTCAGCTGGGAGAGCAGAACCAGAATAAGCACTCAGCTCTTAGAAAGGGGATATCAGTTTTGTTTATGAATCTGTTTCCTGACAGGAAGTGGGTTTTATTGGTTCCTCCCAAGATTCCTGCACTTGATGAGAATACATCAACAACCTTTCCTAATGTGGTATCTCCACAAATTTCACATAGCAACTGTTATTGCACTTCTGACTACAAGTATAGTTTAAAATTATCTGAAAGGGACTACATTAGAAAAGTGAGATCACTATGAACTTTACTCCTGAGCATGAAGTTCAGCGTCATAATTTGGGAAAATAATTATCATAAAGAATTATATCCACAAGCACGTGCTTACTACTGGACCTTAAATTCAGTAACACAAGTTATGATTTTTGAGTGGATTCTTCAAGTGACTACTTACTATTTTTTGCCCCTGTATGATTCATTCAGCTTAGTAATCAACTGTATTAAGATTCTAAGTCCTAGAACTGTTATTTTATCTACAATTAATAAATGTCATGCAATATTACATGTGGATCTCTTCTCTTCCCTGCCTTGCCCTCCTTGGGTTACAGTTCTCCCTCCCCCTCCCTCCCTCCCTCCTCTCTCTCTCAAACACACACTTCCATTTCTATAGAGAGAGCTCATTCATGGAGAATAATTGCATCATGAATTATCCCATTAAAAAAAACTGGAAATGTTTCTAATACACCAATATATTTTCTCTAAACAATGGAGTTTTCTGAAATGAAGAACATACATTATCTGTGTTTAGAACCTCAGATTATGGCCAGTTTGGTACTTTAAAGTTAGCTTTGAAGATGACAAAACTATATTACTTTAGGTTTTGTTACAATGTTTAAGTTTTGTTACAATTTCTGAGCACTGAAAGGAATAAATTAACAACTTCTTTTTCAATTCAAAAACTATACTACATCCCATTCTTCTTTAGTGACCCCCCCCCCCCAACTCTTCATTTTCATTTTCTCCAAATTCACTGCGTAAAAACTCCAATTAAAACTATGGATAAATACCTGCCAAGTCAAGATAACTTTTTGTGATTTAATAACTGGATTCCAAAGTATGTCATAAGTATGTCGTATTTTAGGCTGAGATGCTACTAAATCTCTGAGTTATTTTTGCAGCAGTAGCAGGCCATCATAGTTTCCCTTTTATCAAAGGTTACTGTAAGGTAGCAAGCAGCTACCCATCCGCAGAATATAGGTTTTATAGACAAATTTGAAACAAGACTAAAATGCTATAAAATATATGCTTAAACATGCTGAAGAATTTCTTTTCAAATTCTCTACAAAACTGAGATCAGGAAAGTAGAAAATACTCAAAATAGGCAATGTTTTACTGTTACCACCAGAAAAATATTTATAAAGACAACTAAAAATGGCCTACAGTTTTTCTACAAGAGGTCATTTTTCACATGAAGCACCAGGATATACTTATAAGGATTTTTTAAATGAAAAATTAGAACTTACATAATTATTTGAAATAATCTGCCTAACATTGTTTGAGCAAAACTTACATTCATTTCTCTAGAGCAGTATTCAACAGAAGTGGGATTTCTATTCTTGAAACAACTGAATACAGGCATTAAAGCATCTAGCTCAGTTGTGAACATTAAGGAACATCAATAAAATATTAATAAATTAGAAGAAATACTGCAGCTAAAACTAAAAGATACATTCCTACTCCATTCTATTTTGGTTCACCCACACAAGAGCTTTCATTTCTAACTAAAAAGTAGTAAGTATGCATGTTAATGAAAAAAAATAATTTGGAAAACTTTTTCCACTTACAAAAAAAAAAATGGGAAGAGAGGAATATAAGGAAATCCCCTGGATTTCCTACTAAGAATCAAAGAAATGTACATGACCCGAGCCATTGCTACTGAAGAACTACTACTTAGATACGTATCCCAAAGGTTTAGAGATGTCTGAATACAAGGCTGGATGTGTACTTAAATTACCATATATATTTCTTTT